TGCCCAGCTTCAGGAACAGCTCAATGTGGAGAAATTCAAAACTGCTATGCTGGAAAGGTGAGGTCCTGTGCTTCCTAATAGCAAAGAAATATGTGTAAAAATTGTGTACAATGTGGCTTGGGCACTAACTCCTACCTTGGAGGAGAATTATTCTAGCTGCTACTTACACTTGTATTTGAATTTTATACCCTGGTCCCTTTATCACCCTCAACCATTATAGAATACAAACACATTGGTTTTGCAGTCTTTAACAAAACATTACACAGGCAGAGTTTTTTTCTTGAAAGATTAAAATTCTACTGTTTTGAAAGGATAGAAGCTGTTTATTGTTGACTTTTCCATTAATCCTTGCTGTCACTCTCCTTTTAAGTTCTATCTTTCATACTATATGTACATGAAATAGGTGTCCCCAAGAGCCTCCTTAAAAAATGACAAACAATCTTTATAATTTTCAGACAGGAAAAAATATTGCAAATAGGGAGTAGTATTAATTTGAGTTAAATTGGTGTTTCTGCTGGCCCAGCTCACTTGTTCAAATAAAAACCCGTGCTTGTTCTTTGACCAGAGTACCCTCGTGTTTCCTGAAAATAAGACCCAACTGAAAATAAGCCCTATGTCAAGAATTGGGATAATGTCAGCATTCCAACTATCATGGAGAATTAAATCAGAGTCCAAGGCAAAACGTTCCTTAAAGTTCCAATTTAATAAAGCAGACATCTTAGTGCATTGCTATAGAATCCCAATTCTGGAAATTACATCAGAATCCCACCCAGTTAAAAGTTCATGATCTTGTCACCACACCCACAATCCATCACATGGTCCAATCTTCTTCTTCCACGCTAGCACCCACACCCAACTGCTTCCGGTCAGGTGCGGAGACAAAAGATGACCTTGAACTTATAGAAAGGAATTTTTTTTATTTTGAAAACAACCCATTCTACTCCTTGCTATCCCCCCCTCTTAATGAGAGTGTGGGAGGCCAAAGATTCTTAAAGGAACCGCTGCAGGACTGACACCCTAGCAGGATGCTCATAGGCCCTACCCCCAAAATAAGCCCATTAACATTGTCAGCCAGACGGATGCATTTAGTACCATATTTCCACGAAAATAAGAAATAACTAGAAAATAAGCCCTAAGATGTCTTTTGGAGCAAAAATTAATATAAGACCCGGTCTTATTTTTGGGGAAACACGGGTAGCAAGCAAATCAGACAAGAACAAGACAATTATTGAATGTAAATGCTAAATTTTAAATTGAGTTAATAATGTAACACTTTTTCTGTAAACAATTTCTTAGATGCAGTGTTAAGAGGAGGTCTTGTTCCCTTAAGGTCTTCTGTGGCATCATGACTCTATGCCCATTATACAGGATGAAATGGCATTTATTTCACCAGCCAAAGACCATACTTTGTTCTCCATTGCAAAGCACTCTCCGTCACAAGGAAGCACATGGAATTTGAATTCAGTAATTCTGGTCAGATTCAAGAGATCACCTTATTCCAAGATGAGGAAGCATCTGTTGAATTAAGAAAATTGTGCATACTGCATTCCTTAGTTTTGGGAAAGAGTCCATTAGTTTCTTGATAGTCCACTGGATTGTTTATTAATCTTATTGTCTTGTTTTTGTGTAGAGAGCTGAGAGCAGCCCGGATTGCCCAGGCCTTTCAAAAGGATCCATCTTTAGAACGGACCAGAGCACAAGAATCTGGAATCGGTTTAAGGCACAAGAACACCAAGAAGCGTCTGGTTGGAGGAAAAAATGCTCGATCTTTTAGTTTTACCGCTACTGGCTATCAAGGATCAGGCTATGCTAGTCACTCAAGTAACTGAAATGCATCTCATTCTGAAAACTGCCCATTGAATTTACCTAATATATATACCCAAGTCATATGTTTACCTAATATATCATGACCCCAAGGAATCATGGTGCTAGTTTTGATCTTTCACTCTATGAGAACACTTTATTATATTACAACATAAACCACCTTAATCCTCTATGAACCCAACAGCTATAAATCATGAACACAATCAGACATATACTTTCAGAAGAGGCTCATGGCAAAACTTTAAGCAGACCAAATCTTCAAAATGAACTTCCTTAACTTTGATGCTTAGTACTAATATGTAGTTCCATGATCCTGGATTTTTTTATTCCAATGCCTTAGGAGGGTGTCAAGCCCTTATTTAAACTGATTGGCATATTTTCTCCCTTGGGTTTTCTGAATATCCATAGCTTTTTTTGTTTAACTTTTATATTCATTCAATTTCAAAGACCTCTGTATCCCACTGTTTATATTTTTTTTTAAAGTCAGAAATTTGCAGTGTTCGTAGGCAGCAGCGGTTAACTGATATTCTTGTAGTTCATGAAACAATTGTAAGAAGCCGGGTCCTACCTTGGGATTCTCTTCCCAACAAAAAAACACAACTTGAGCAAAATATATTGTATTAAACAGGCTGAGCAGATAACATTTAATAAAGTTCAGAAGTTGAGGAAAATGTGTCTTCAAATCAGATTATATCTCTTTCCAATGCAATAGCAGGGAGGTTAAACATATTTGTTCAGAAAGGGTGTGCCTGCTTTATTTTTGATGAGTGACAGATACATAGAAAATACAGTTTTGGTGGCTAGGTGTTAACAGTTGAAGCACAGAGACAGTAGATCTTCTTTTTAAGAGTTCTGCTGTTCTATTTTGTAAAAAAACCCCAAAAAAATCTAATAAAGCAAATCTTATATTCCAGTTAAAATGTTAACTATGGATAGTATTATGCATGTCCAAAGCTCACTCTTCTATTTATAAGTTTAGTTGCAAACTTACTATATGAGCTCCCTAGACATTCCAGAATATGATTTTATGTCTAGCTGCTGGACAGCCAACAGTCTATTGAGATCTTCTTTTAGTTGCACTTGTGAATAAAACTTTTGAAGTTGTTTATTTAAAGGATTGCGTATTTTGCACACTGCTTTACAAGAGAGGGATGGCAACTTTATCCACTTTAACACATTGCTTGGCCTATTCTGTAGACACATAACCTTACAGAGTTGCTGACCGATGGGAATGGACAATCTAATTCTGCTTGGAGGAAATGTCATTGGGTGAATTGTTAGGATTGCACTAAAATATTCCTTTGGAGAGGTCAAAGCAGGTATCAATAAATCTAGATGTGGCAAAGAATTGTCACTGGTAAATTAAAGTCCAGCAATAGTAAACCTTTACTTTTTTCAAACCAGTAAAAAAAATGGAATAAATAAAAACAGTATTTGATAAGAGTGAAGTTGTTTGAAGGTAAACCTACTTCTTGTTTAGCAACTAAGTTCTACCCCATTTGACTAGGTTGTTAAGCGAAATGTTGCCACTGTTAAGTGAAGTGTGTGTCTATGTGTGTGTATGTAAGAGACAGAGGGAGGGGGGAGAGAAATGGTTATTATCATCTCATTCTGAAAATATAGTTAATACTACTATACCAATATTACTTTAGCATGCATTGTCAGGTGCATTAAATTTGGTCATAAATTGATGCATTGGTCAGAAAATGACTTTATTATCATATTTGTGAATGATCACTAAGATAGTCACTAAATGAAGAGTGGGTGTAGTGATTTCACTCATGTAAACATGTGCATCTTTTTCTCTGTGATAATCACTTGTTGATGTTGGGAAACAACCAGTTAGGCTGGAAGGAAGGGTCAAGCAGGGATATAGCTTGAAATCATTGTGCGATTGCAAATGACATCAGCTTGAGCTTCCCCAAGACCCATGGAACCTTAGCAGTCCGGGCACATTCTTGAAACATGGGTAGAAGTCAATAAAGTTGTTTACTATGCCATAATTTATCTATTTACAAGTTGCTCTATTTGCTGTGCCTGACAGTATTTCACTACCTTCTCAGAACTCAGTGTGGGATAGAGCTCTTAAATGATTGAAATTTGATTTTTTTTTTTAAAAAAAATGCATCTTTGGAGAAATAAGATGTTTGCTTTTTATGACTGATTAAATGTTAATATGGATTGCTCTATGACTAAGTAAGGTGAAAAATGCTCCCCACTAAGAATTTGTAGAGGTACTTACAAACAGTCCCTGGAATAGAGAGATCTATATAATTATAGCCCAATTTCTATTTCTTAGGTGATCTAGAATGCAATAGCCTTGCAACTTCAGACACAACTGGATTGTACTGATTATATGGACTTTTAAAAACCAGGCTTTAGAATATAGTAGTGAAATTGTTTTGGTAGTGGAGCTACCCAAATCTGGATCAAGAAATGTGGCCAAATTCTGATAGAACTTGCCTAGGAAACAATCCTCCTGAACACCCTGGAGCAATGAAGAACTGGAAATAATTAACTTTGAAGAGGTTAAACTCAAAAGCCCCTTCGACATAGAGGTGTTAGAAAAGTTGTAAGTTTGGTTCCTGTTGTCTGAACACATGTTATCTGCCAAAGCACAAGTTTCATCTTGGCTTCCTGTTGGCTGCAATTTACAGCCAGCCTGTGAATCATGCCTACACGTCTGAAAGAGCTTATGTTTTAAATAAATAAAGCGAAAGAAACCACAAACAAATGGAAATGCCTATACTACCCTCATTCTCAATTACACAGAGAAATAAGCCTGAAAGAACCAAAACCTTTGCAATGGAGAGAGGGGGAGGGAGAAAGAGGGGTGAGGGAAGGAGAGTGAGGAGAAATGGGAGGGAGGGCTAGAGGGGAGGAAGGAAGGAGAGGAGGGGGAGAGGGATGGAGGGAGGGATAGAGGAGAGGGAGGAGAGTGGAAGGAGAGGAGGGAGAGAGAAAGAGTGAGAGGAGGGAGGAGAGAGAGGGGAGAAAAGGGAGAGGGAGGTGGGGGAGAGGAGAGAGGGATAGAGGAGAGGGAGATAAAGGAGACAGAGGAGAGAGGGGAAAGAGGAAAGCTCGAAATTTTGGGTTTGGACAATGTGGAACTGCAGTCTCACCTAAGCATAATACACAAAATTGTCTGTTACAACATCCTGTCAACAAATATTTCAGCTTCAAGGGTGAACAATCGATACAAACTTGAGGTAAACAGCTCCAAACTTGATTGCAGAAAAAACAACTTCAGCAACAGTGGTCAATGCCTGGAATGCACTACCTGACTGTGGTTTCAACTTCAAACCCCCATAACCTTAAACTGTCTACTGTGGACCTCACCCCATTCCTAAGAGGTCCATAAAGGAGGAGTGTATAAGCGTACCAGCGTGCCTACTGTCCAGTAGTGGGTTTCAAAAATTTTAGAATCTCTTCTGTAGGTGTGGCCTGCTTTGTGGGAGTGGCTTGCTGGAAATGTGACTGGGTGAAAGTGGCTTGCCAGCCATGTGACCAAGTGGGAGTTGCTTGGCAGTCATGTGATTGGGTGGGCATGGCCAACTTGTAAAATGTGGTGAAACTCACTTAACAACNAATATTCAATGATGCTTAAGTTTGTATTGACCCATTGCAAGGGATTCCTTCCTTCCTTCCTTCCTTCCTTCCTTCCTTCCTTCCTTCCTTCTTTCCTTCCTTCCTTCCTTCCTCCCTCCCTCCCTCCCTCCCTCCCTTCCCTTCAACAACTCTAGGTTATAGATTTTGCTTACAGTGACTAGGCTAAATTCAAACTTGATGAAATTAGCATGTGTTCATGAACACTTAAGATTTTGGGATTTCCTCTCATATTAATTTGGAATTGTAAGCATTCTGGAATAGAGCTCTGAAAGGTCATTACAGATTATCAATTAAATTTCACCCATAAATTATTGACTTCTTCAAGTTGCATGATCTTTAACAAACTTTCTGGCATGAGTTTAAAAATATTATACAATCATGTAGTTCTTTGGTTTTAATGTGCTGTATGAACCATCCAATAGTATTTTTTTTACATCACTGTTTAAAAAAGCTTGTCAGTACCTTACTGCATGCAAAGACAGACTATTTGCACAATATGGTAATACGTATCCTATGTTTTGCTCACATTCTGACTTTCTGCTTATCTTGCTACCTGGCACAAGATTGCTTTTCACAAGAAACAGAGTTCATACTTCTGTATTTTTCTTAATGGGTGTTTTTATGATGTGCAGATGGTTATAATTTGTAAGCCACATTGGCTGTAGCTGTTATAAGATATCTGAATGCATACTGCAAGCTAACACAATTTCTCCTTGATTGCAGGCAATATTTTTATATGCCACAGTCTACCTGGCTCTGTGGGTCAAGAGGAGAGTGATGGGGAGGAGGATGAAGTTGCTACTTCAAATGTGGTATATAAAATTGGTGTGTATCTTGGGGGGGTGGGGTTGGACCACTTGTTGTCAAATGATTTCCAACATAGACTTTGGCTAAGTTTTATCAATTGCTGTGTCAGAGCAGTCTGCATTGCATATTTTTTTTAAAACTACCATATTTGTAAGTGAGTGGGTTTTAACTAGGCCCANTCTCTCTCTCTCTCTCTCTCTCTCTCCTTCCTTTTGTCTCTCTGTCCTTTTTTCTTTTTTTCTTTCATCTCTCTCTCTTTTTCTTTCTTTTTTATTTTATTTATTTATTTATTTCTTCCTTTCTTTCTCTCTCTCTCTCTCTCTGTGTCAGTCTGTGTGTGTGTGTGAGTGTGTGTGGCAGTGGTGGGTTTCAAATTTTTTTGGAACCTCTTCTGTAGGTCTGGCCTGCTTTCCGGGTCCACTGGTGGAACCTCTTCTAAGCGGTTCGGTAGATTTGACAAACCGGTTCTACCGAATAGGTGTGAACTGGTAGGAACCCACCTCTGGAGTATTGGAAATGACAGTTGCATGACCATACTAACATGATAGTGTGGCAATGCTGAAGCAGTTACAATTTTTCCAAATTTCAA